TTCAGTCGTGCATCGAAGCCTTCGTTTTATCACGTTGGAGACATTATCACTCTTGAAAGGGAGGAAAATGCTCACCGGCTTTTTTGGCACTAATATTTCAGGAGTACTTTCTTGTTTGCAGTTTAGATACTTATCAATGAATTTCTCAGTAAGGCCGTTGCCAAAAAATCTCTTTCTTGAGAAAGCTCATCTCTTCATCAATCATATTCGAAGGACAGATTCTAACGGCTCTATTGAAAAGGCAAAAAACCAAGTTTCGTTTCCTCTGAATAGGAGAGAATCTAAGAAAGTGCATGTATAGTCCTTTCCATGTGGTTTTCCGATATATGGACCTTTGAATGGAACCATCTGCGCGCCTGTGTATAAACACGTTCAAGAAAGCCAGTGTATCACCCTTCTCATGCTCTATCGTAAATTTCATCTTTGCATGCGCCTCGTTGATAGCTTAAAGTAGCAGTTCTCCCTATTTAAGGGTTTTGAATGCCGCAAAATATCATCCACGTATCGTATATAAAAAACAGTTTTTCCTATGCGTTTGGTTAATTTTCGTCCAAAGTTCGACATGAAAATGCCTGCTAGGACTGGTTCTAATGGACTGCCCATAGCTACACGGTCGGTCTGACGATACAATTGTCCGCTGAACAGGAACTGTACGTTCTTAGTGCATATATGTTGTAGTTCCCGTAGCTGGCCTGGTTCCTGGCATGTTTCAGCCGTATGCTCACAAATTATGTCAATGTTTTCATCCAGTGGCACGTTTGTGAACAGGCTTTGCACGTCAAGTGAGATCCTATGTTTATTGAATCATTTTTTCATTCAGTTCTTCTACGAACGAAAAGGTATCTTTGGTCGTGTGAGCAGCAAATTTGCATCTGATTAGTTCAACTTGTTGGACTAGCCATTGACCAAGTTTATACTGCGGTGAGCCCCTCAGTGGTAAAATTGGCTGAAGTGAGACTCCTGGCTTTTGCACTATTTGTTGCCCGTATAGCCTGGGAATACGTGTACGTACAGGCCTAAGACAGGCAGTTGTGTTTTCGTCTATTATCCGTTTTTCGAGTAGCGATTTAACCTTCTTTTCCCAATAAGATCTTCCAGCACTTTTGTTTCTTCTTTTCCGTGGGTTTCAGAAGAGAATTTGCTGGGTTCATTTAATATGGCTTGCATCTTTCTACCGTAATCATCCTTGTTTAAAGTCACAACGCCGCTTCCTTTGTCTGGTCTCGAGATAACGATGTTAGTGGCCTTTCGCAGGTCGTTTAAAGCCGTAAGGGGTTGCTTAGTTAAGAGTGGGCGCTGAATAACCGGAATTTTTCTATACTGATAAGTGATATCCGCTTTTAGCCATCCGGCAGATTCTTTTGACGTCGGCTTCAGGTCAGATAACTGGTACTGCAGGTCTTCAAATTTGGCTTCAATGTCCGTCGGATCTATTTTCCTTCTCGGCACACAAATTTTGAGCCCTAAGGAGAGGGCTTCGGCTTGCAATTTTGTCACTGCCACATCTGACATATCAACGATGAAGTCGTATGGGTTTAAAAGAAATGATTCGGGTATACGTTGTCTATTAAGCGACTTCATCAACTCAGCGTGGAACACTTCTTGTGTCCTAGATTGCAGGTTTAAAACGCATTTCATGAACAATAACCAGCATATGGGGCTCACCGATTCCATCACGTGCTTTCACTAGTCCAGTTGACATCGCATTTCTGAGAACATATGCATTTCTGAATATATGGCGAAGTCGTTGCTCAGGGCGGAACATAAAGTACCTAAGTGTTCAATCACGAAGCACCTAGTGGACACTGACCATACGGTCGACCAAAAGACTGCATTTGAGGTCGTACTTCGGACGACGACCGGGCGTCTGCTACGATTTGCGGAGGCCGCTGCAATATGGGGAAGAAAACCAGAACTTTATAAGCAGCTGGACCATTTGCTCAAGGTCACATTGTCGTGATAACGATCGATAA